CTGTCTAGATTGTCGTACACACACTGCTATCAGTACTTCTGAGAGCTCTGATTTACGGCACGCACGGTACGCCTTTCTCCTTTTTTCTCCCTTAAGTCTCAAACCTCTATCACATGCCCAAGACTTTCAAAATAATAAAATAGTGTGTGCTTGCGCTCCTTCATTTAACCAGTAAAACTGGCCCCATAGATGCCCTTGATTCCATTTATGCTACCAGCTGTTAGATAAACATCCTGTCTGCACCGGACTTCAAGATATTTATCTGCTTTTTTAACTAAAACCTCAAAAATTATTGGCGTTTTAAAAGGCAAACTTACCTACTACGGACTGCTTTAGGACATCCATTTGATAGCCCAATATTCTACATTTCAATGTGCACTACGTGGACACTGATAACATAATAGAGGCCACAATGAATTCCATAGTGGGTTTGGTGAGTGAGAAATAAAAATTATGCTCCAATTGAGCTTCAACATTGGCGGGATGGACACCAAATATACTTTCTGCACAGAGACCTTCGTTCTCAAATGTGTCTCACTGGAGAGGTCTGGTACATGTGCAAGAAACTTGATCAAATAGGTGAGTATATATTTAAAATTTTTCGATTCATGTTCTAATGGTGCTACCCTCAATGGTCTTGAATCGATCTATGCAAATGAAATTGGCCAAATGTTTGTTATCATGCACGGCAAAATATGCATTTATTATCTCCTGGTTTAATCCACCGTTAAAATGCTCAGTCAGTACTGTCATCCGAATAGTTTGCCTACAGCTACAATCAAAGAATTTTCAGATTTGCTTTCAGCAAAAAATGCTCTCTATAATTCGTTAATTGCTGGATCTCGAAAAAGGCATTCATAAAGCATGGATTTTATTTATTCTTTATAGTCTCAACTCATGTAGTGAGGAATCAATCTATTCACTTTTCTGCATAGGATGAATATATATACATATATATATATATATATTTTGGATCACCTGAAGATACAAATGCAAAATTTGATTCTAAGCTTGAGACGATTAAGAGTGGTCTGCTACTAGACTGCGGATGCCTGCAGCAGTAGCCAAATTGCAAGTAAAAAATACCAGTATTAACAAGTAAGTATATATCCTTTTCAATTTTTCCCGAATTTGTATTCTAAAAGCTGCAACTTTCAAATAGCAATTAGCAAAATTTGATGTTGTTGGTTTATGAGATAGATGCTCAGCCTGATAAGGTGACTTTAGAATAGCGCATTTTTAGACTGCCAAAGTGGAAGCAGAAGCAGTAGATTGACTGAACCTAGGTGA